CATATATATAATGTCAAAACTGCAATTCATTCAGGTTTTTGCAGACATAATTTCCAGTGATTTTTTTGTTTGTTTAGTTAAAGCAATGTTTGACAATTTGATGCTTTCCACATTTAGTTGTGCTTATATAACAAATACATACAGACATAATACATCTGACAGACATAACCTGTCCAGGTCACATTTGACCGCTAAAATCAAAAGAAGAAAAAAAAAATATATATATATATATATATTTCTTCAATGAAAATGAATCTTATTTTAGGACCATTAAGATTTTTTTCATTGTAACACTATTTTTAATCAATCAACGTAAAATCCGCACAACTGAAACGACGATAGGTGCATGGGAACAAAATAAAGTTTAACAAATAAATGCGTGTGATAAAGTTTAAGAATTAGCAAGTTTGATAGTGTGCGGGTTCGTTACTTATTTTTAACACTATTTCTAATGAAAATTTAGCATGTGTGCAGTAACAAGAATGCAAAATCTCATTATTGTATAAAAAATAACTGTATTATTTTAAAATATAAAGTAAATTTGTAAAGTATACATGATAGTAGTTTTCTTGTACTGAATTTATGCTGATTTGAATATAAAAATTATAAAAGTGAAAAAAAAAATATTACTGTATTTTTATTCCATATTATAGTAATAAGAATTTGGAAGGAAATTGTCATGAAAAAGTTACAATTTAAAAAAATAAATCTTCATGGTGCTTAAAACCGGTTTTCTTTTACATTTGGGGTGAAATGTGACCTGGACATTTCTTCATGAAGGTAAATAATTAATTTAAAATGTCAAGGTATTTTCATAGCCCAGTGTGTTTTAAGAGAAAATCAAACTTATTACATATATTTTATTATCAACAGTTGGACAGAATGTTTCCCTTGTTTTTTATTTAAGATGTGTGACTGCCAGATCTGAGCTATACAAAACTGCCTGGTATACCATGATAGTAGAAGTACCATCAGTAAAAGGATGGGAGAATAATACAAACATTTCATAATAGTGGAAATAATTCTTGAAGCTCATGCTCATAATAGAAAACGATCCAACGCGCTGAATCAGTTTTTTGTGGACGTGGTACAAACACAGGACAGAAATGAAGCATGATCTGAGGTAGCAAAAGATGTCACACAATCAAACGCTGACCCAGAGATAGAGAGCCAGAGGCCATAAATGTGCTTCATTCTTGAATAAATTACACTCAGTATACAGCATTTCATTATGTTAAGCTCGAATCTTTTAGGGGGCAAAAGTAGTACGGTGCGGTTTCACAGACGCTGTTCTCTCAGCGTTTATCTTGACGGCCTTTAAGGTGGAAGGGCGCCGAGACGAAGGGGTCAGTGGAAGTCCCATCAGAAGTCACAGCGCTCGGTCTGTGTTCAGGGTCTGTGTTCACAGGTCCTTCGTAGTGTCTGGAATACTTAGAAAGTGCCTGGGGGCGAAAGGCCAGAGGGGTCACTTGGCCGAGGATGCTCTGGTCAAGGGAAGAAAATCTCGGCTGGGCCGCCGGATTGCTGTAAACCTTTCCAGAAGCTTCCTTCTTCATACCAAAGGGCGCCTGGAGGAAAATATCAGGCTGTCGAGGCTGAGCTGGAAGGCGAGGAAACGGCGCATTGGCGAACACGTCCCCATCGCCGTCTACGTCTTCTCCGATTTGAAAGGGAGCTTTGGAGAAGACGTCGACGCTTGGATCTGCGCCTGAATGTTGGGCTTGTGACACCAGCTGTGGCGAGTGGCTCTGAGAAACCAAAGAGGACTGGTTTTCAACTGGTTCCTCGGATTGGGAAGACATCTGGAGGTTTCTGGAAGACGCGGGACTTTGGTCGTCATCGTCATCTGAGTCTTGAAGTAACGGTCTGGAGCCACTGCAGTCCAGACTTGGCGTTTCTTCGCCGCTCACCTGTGACCTCCCCCCTTCTTGTTCTCCATCGTCTTCATCGCTGGAATGAAGACAGCTCTCCTCCACAGGGTTCTCGAGGTCACCTCCCTCCAAAAGCGATCCATATCCATCACTCTTGCCTCTGGCTTCTGCAAAACAGAAAACCGTAGAAAGGAAATTGATAGTTAGTGACATTTTCACCAATACGCTACAGTATAGCAGGAGGATAATTTTGAACAATCAATGATTATGACCAAAAAGTTTTCAAAACTTAAAAATTGGGACCTTCTATAAATACACGGAATGAATAAAACAAAAGGTTGGAATAGCTGGAATCATCTATAGGTGCAGCCTGTATCCGGACAGTTGTTGCAACATTACTGTGCCTCCTCTACAGGACGGTTCACCCACAAATCAATATTCTGTCATTTATCCTCACGTCGTTCCAAACCCGTATGACTTTCTTAGTCCTACTGAACACAAAAGGAGGCATTATGAATTCATTATGAATTGAATTTGAGTTATAATAATTTTTACAGAAAAAAAAAAACAATGCAAACTGGAGCATTTAAGCTTCAAGAAGGAAGAAGGTTTACTGAAGCTATACGGTCGCTGTGGACGCTGTTTGACTGTTTAAGCCAAATTTAAGTCATTATTCCCTGAAAATCTGGACATCCAACATGGATACAGCTGCGTCACGTGGATACATTGTTTTCGTTCAAATCAAAGCATAAACAACGTAGAAAACGTGACGCAGCTGACACAGAATAGCATACGCTGTTTGCGTTCAGTGGATACTCTCCAAAATGGCACCAGGGTGACGCGGAGGAGACGAATTGTTGAATAAAGTCGTTATTTTTGTTTTTTTTGCGTACAAAAACTATTCTCATAGCTTCGTATAATTACGGTTGAACCCCTGAAGTCACATGGATTATTTTACCGATCTCCTTGCTACGTTTCTGGACCTTGATCATGGTAATTACATTACTGTCTATGGGAGGGACAGAGAGCTCTCAGAATTCATCAAAAATATCTTAATTTGTGTTCCGAAGATGAACGGAGGTCTTACGGGTTTAGAACGACATGAGG